GCAGGAGGATCAGAAGTTGAAGATCATCTTTGGCCATATATCAAGTCTGAGGCAAAGCTAAGTAACATGAGACTACATGTCTCCAGAAAAAAGCACATGTGGTGGTGGTGGTGGTGGTAGACCTGGAAATTTTAACTATAATATGGAAATACTGAAATGTAATATGAAATGTGAACGTTTTCCTACCCAAGAATTGTTGTTATTGCTGATTTTGTTTTTGCCTATGATAGTTAATTTGCACTATCACCTTGACTGAATTTGGAACCACCTAGGAGACATGCTTGTGAGTGTGTCTATGAGGGTGTTTCCAAAGGTTAACTTGGGGAAAGGAGCCCTGCTCTGAATGTGGGCAGAACCATCGCGTGGACTGAAGCCCAGGACTGAACAAAAGCAGGAAGTCAGATGAGACCCAGCATTCAACGCCTTCTGCTCTCTGGCTGCAGACATGACAGGCTGTATCACTTTCCTGATACCATGCCTTCTCCACCGTGGTGAACTGTATCCCTTCGAACAGTGAACCAAAATGAACCCGTCTTAAATTGATTCATTAGGTATTTAATCCCAGCACTCGGGAGGCAGAGGCAGGATTTAGTCTACCATCCACTCCTCTCAGTGCTTGGGAGCTTGCCTGCTTGCCTGCTTTCTCCTAAGAGGCAATCTGTGGAACCTCAGCATCTGGCTCGGGCTGATGCACGGGGACACTGTCCCTGTGGGTGGCAGCGTCACCATGAGGCCTCCACTGGGCAGCTCAGGGCACACCCCGGACTCTGGAACAGTTTGGGGAGAAGCAGCGTCTGTTCTCTGAGAGCGCTGGGTAGTTCTGAGTGTTCAAGTCCTGTGAGCTGAGTCTTCACGGGCTGGGTTCCCGCTCTGGTCTCACTCTCCTGCCGGGTTTGCCCTTGCTGAGCGCAGTGGATGCTGACGGTGACTGAGAACCAGTGAACTCCACTTGTCTTTCCTCATCTCATGTTCACACGAGGGACCTCTGTGGGCTCCACACATGCTCTGACAGCTCCCTTTGAACCTGGCCTTTATTCTTGCTCTAAAGGTGAGAGGCAGGGATTCCAAGCAGAGAATGAATCAGCTGGGAACAGGGCCCATGGTCAGTGCAAGTGAAGGCTGGCTCGCCCCACTGACCCTCCCTCCACTGCTGAGCTGGACAAGGCCACTTCCTCCTGCTGGTTTGCCTCTTGTTCCTCAGGGAGGCCAGGAGCCACTGGCTTTGTAGTTCAGAAGCAGGAGGTGTTAGGTTGCCAAAAGAACTTTATCCAGTGCCTGGTATGTGAGGAATACTTAGGGAAATGGCTTTGACTGACCCCTTCCTCCCATGCCTGTGAGCTGCTGACATCTGGGTTTGTGAGGAGAGTGGCAGCCAGGCTGACAGGCAGGTGTCAAGTTCATCCACCCTGCACTTCTTCGACTAGTAACATGGCTTGGATAGCCTGAATTTGCGCTCTCCCAGGTGTTGTGTGGAAGGCGTCCATCAGTGCTTGTAAGGGGCTCTGTGACTGTTTCTTTCCTTTTCTAGATCCTTCTGAGATGTTTATAGTTAACTCCCCACTCCCACCCTCAAACCCAGTGTGTGTGTAGAGGAGGCTGGAGATTGTGCAATCTAAAGAGAAGAGAGACGCCCCCAGTACCCTGGCCACTAACTTACTCCATAGTTATGCTGACTTATCCTGATTATTGGTGTTCTTGTTACTCAGGGTCTAGGGTCTGCAGGAAATCTAGATAAAGAACCTCTTACAGAAATTAACTCTAGGGCTGGAGAGATGGCTCAGCAGTTAAGAGCACTGACTGCTTTTCCAGAGGACCCAGGTTCAATTCTCAGCACCCACATGGCAGCTCACAACTGTCTGTAACTCCAAGATCTGACACCCTCATATAGACATACAAGCAGGCAAAGTACCAATGCAAATAAAATAAAAATAAATGAATTATTTTTAAAAAAGAAATTAACTCTATGTAGGGGCTGGAGAGGTAGTTCATTAGTTAAGACTACTGGCTGCTTTTCCGGAGGACCCAGGTTTGATTCCCAGCATCCAAGTGATGACTCACAACCACCTGTAACTCCCATCCCATGGGATCCAACATTCTCTTCTGACCTCTGCAGGACCCAGGCACACAGGTGGTACACAGAGATCCACGCAGACAAAACACCCCCACACATAAAATAATAATAAAAGAAGAAAGTTCATCCCACTGGATGAGAATACACTTCAAAAGATAGCTAAAATAAAATAATCTGTGAAGGACCGGGTTCACCCTGGTGGGTGGGTCTGCGGCAGGGGCCCACGTGACAGGGAGACTGGTTCTTCAGCACCTGCAGGAGTCCCAATGCCTTTCCGTTGTGTGCAGCAGCTTTTACATCCAATGGCTTAAGAAGGACACTCGGGCCAGCTCCCACGTTCGCTTTCCCTGGGGAAGACGAGGAGACCGGCTATAATCACTCCCATTAGGAGCTGGCAGTTTCCCAGGCCCCTCTTCTACCTGGCCGACTCAACCCGGACATCTGCTGGGCCTGGCAGGATGTGCGCAAGTGGAGGTTGCATTATTCCCACCCTGCCCCAAGTGAGTGGCCCTGGCACGAGCTGGGACAGCTGACGCTCTCACGCCGCGAGGTTTACGGAGGCCAGATTTAAGAACCAGGGCTTTCGTTTGTTTGTTTGTGTTTGTTTGTTTTTGTATATTGAGAGAGTATTTCTCTGTGTAACGGCCCTAGCTGTCCTGGACTTGCTTAGTAGACCAGGCTAACCTCTAACTCAGAGCTTCGCCTGCCCCTGCCTCCTGAGTGCTGGGATTAAAAGTGTGGGCCACCGCCGCCCGGCTGAACAAGTGCTCTTAACAGCAGTTTGCTCCCTGGTCCTAGCTCAAGGGTCAAGCTTTAAGGGAGAAGACCTGACTGCAGGCTTGAGAAGGAACCTGGCGCAGATGACAGCCACCACTTATGAGTAAACGCCCCCTGGGAGACAGAGGTGTAGACTGAGTAGTTGAACACCAGCTTCTAGAACCGAGTCTACACTCCAATCCAGCACCAGGCTAAGCTGCTCACACACGTGATCTCTCAACACAAAATTTCCTTAAAATAAGTGCTGGTCCCTGTGTATAGATCAGTGTGAAGCTCAGAGGTGAGCTAACTGGCCTCAGCTCCCACAGGCTGTGTGGTGGAGCTGGGGCTGTGGATTCCCACATTACACTTGCTCTGCCTTCTGGCCATTTGGGTATAGGACCTTTCAAGGTCATCTGTGCCAGAGTGAGGGACAGGAAGATTGTACAAGTCATAAGTTCTGAATTCTATGTGTGCCATGGATTTGTCCAGACCCTCCTCCAAGAAGCTAGAAAAAGCAGGTTTGGCTGACACAGGTTCTTCTCTGAAAATTTTCTTTGCATGGGATGTGGTTGTATGTGCCATGAATCCCAGTAGTATTCAGGAGGCAGAGGCAGGAGGATCTTTGTGAGTTCAAGGCCAGCCTGGTCTACAGAGAGAGTTCCAGGACAGCCAGGGCTACACAGAGAAACACTGTCTTGAAAAAAAAAAAAGTAGAAAATTTTCTTTTCGATTCATTTATTTTACTTTCTGTGTATGAGTGTTTTGTTTGTATGTTCGACTGCGTACCACTTGCATGCCTGGTATCAACAGAGGTCAGAAGAGGGCGCCAGATTGCCTAGAACTGGAGTCACAGATGGTGTGAGCCGCCATGTGTGCTGGGAACTGAATCTGGGTCCTTTGCAAACGGCAGGTGTTCCACTACGCCATCTCTATAGCTCCAGATTCTTCTGCTCGAGGCAGATTTAAGGGCAAGGCTGTGGCCAACAATATGGTGGTTCCACCCAGGCAGACAACTGTGGCAGTAGCTTTGAGGCAGTGAAATCAGGGCAGGGGACATGCAGGCTGCAGGACAGGGAGGGAGGCGTAGGCAAGCTCCTAGCTTGTTCCTGGGCTGGGAGTGGAACCTTCTTGAGCCCCAAATGATATAGTAGTTTTCTTCTCCTCTACCCCTAAAAGCAACACTGCCTCCTGCCTGGCAGGGCTCCTACCTGGGGGTCCAGCCCCTGGGCAGATTCAGCCCATGGAACTGTCCAAGCTGGCCTTGAACTCAGAATGCTCCTGCTTCAGCTTCCTGAGTGGCTTTTGGAGGAGCTGGCCTGATGCACCAGGCCTAGCTGGAGTCCATTTGTATGCAGACTTCTATACCTCTAAAGATCCTTTTTCCTCCTTTGCTAAACATAGTTTCTTGTTATTTCACCTCCGGCTTTAACTTTTTTCTTTGTTTTTGTGGCAGGGTCTCGTGTAGCCCAAGATGGCCTCAAACTTGCTATGTCATTGAAGATGACCTTGAACTCCTCCTGATCCTTCTGCTCCACCTCCTCAGACCTGGAATCACAGATGTGGGCCACCATGTCTAGTTTTATGGGGTTTGGGGGAGGAACCCAGCACTTCATGCATGCTAGGTAAAAATCTTTGAGAATACTAAAGACAAGCCTAGCTAAGTAAGCAGAGGCTGCTCTCCGAACCACCTCCACCCCTGACAGTCTCCAGTACTTCATGCCTTGGCCCTGGCCTTCCCCAACTCCAGAGCTAGACAGGTACAGCCTCCTCTCCTAGGCTCTCTTCTCAGCAATTACATTCAGGGAGCTTTTCCGTTGACTGGAAATTGCGATCTCACCGGGGAGAGAGGACACAGTGTTGGATGTCTAAATACATAGTATTTGTTTGGGACTGCTCTTTCTGAATAATAGAGTTTGGGTATTCATCTATTTATTCATTTATTTATTTTGGTGCTGGGGGTGGAACCCAGGACTTAACGCATGCAAGGCAAGATCGAGACACATCATCCCGGTCCCCTTCTGGTTCTTTTTTATTTTTCACTTTTTAACCACTTCCATCGAGTTCTCAGGGCGTTAAGGGGAGGAGATGCAGGGTCGCCGGTGGCGCACAGAGCAGAAAGTTGGCCGGCCCGCGCATCCTCCTATAGGCACTGTGCAAACTAGGGGCAGAAATGAACAAGGTGCTCGGAGGCACGAAAGTGTGGTCTACACTGAGACCAAGGCCACCTGGCAGTTCAGGTAACGGAGCTAGCGACTTCAGGAAACTTAGGTCCTGCCAGTCCCGCCGCGCACTCAGCTCTACTCCGGCGTCTCGGTTCTCCCTCCTTTCCTTCCTGCTGATCCAGCCAGCCAGGCTTTCTCCTCCTCTGTTCTCGCCTCCTCTCCCCCTTGAATCCAGTCCTGGTTTCCCCGCTGCCAGCTCCTTCTTCTGCCTGCTGGGCTCGCTCCCCGCCTCCGCCCCCGCCTCTCCAGTCCCGGCGGTCCGCTCGGCTCCCCTGCTCTCCTCTCGCAGCCCCCCCAACCCCCCAGCCACCCGCGGCTCCACTCGCCCAGTCCGGCCGCTCCAGTCCGGATCTCGCTGCCACCCGACCCGGGTGCGAGTTCCAGCAGCTGGAGAGGAGGCGGCAAGCGGCTGGCCCCGGTTCCCCACTGCCGCCTCGTCAGCCCGAGGTTGGCGGGGAGAGAGAGCGGCCCAGCAGCCCCGGGAGCCCCTCGGAGGACAATGCACCCGGCGCTGGGCCACCCTCGCGCGCTCTCGTCCGCGCCCGCCTCCTTCCC